GAACAAATAGTATTATTGCAATTTAAGGTTTTTTTTTTGTAATTATTAATGCAGCAGAGAAAAAAACAAATCCAGCAGTGAGAAAAAAAAAGATACACATATTTGGAAAAATTTCATCTGATTCAAAGAATTATTGGCCTTTGTTTTCACTCCATCAACCTCTTTATTCAACACATTCTCTCTCTCTCTCTCTCTCTCTCTCTCTCTCTCTCTCTCTCTCTCTCTCTCTCTCTCTCTCTCTCTCTCTCTCTCTCTCTCTCTCTCTCTCTCTCTCTCTCTCCTGACATGCTATTACTTTCACAATTTTTTTTTTTGTTACAAAGTATATTGAATATAATAAAATCCCCATTGTTTGCCCTGATCATCAGCCAACAACATAATCCAAAAAAATGTCTTCGAACGCTGCGAATACCACCGGAAACCTCTCTGCCAGCCGACAACCACTCGTCAACGACAGGTTCGTCAAGATTTTCGTCTACGGCATGTACACATCACTCGCGGCATTCGGAGTCTGCATGGTCGTCTCTTTCATAATCCTCTATCCGAAGAATCCCCGATTCGCCCTCAAAGATGCCGAAATCTACGACCTCCAACTAACAGCAACTCCGCCGTCAATCAACTCCACTGTCCACCTCACCATCATATTCATCAATCCAAACAAGAAAGCCGGCATTTACTACAGCGATTTGGTAGTGTACACTTCTTACAAGGGCGAAATGGTCATTCCGGAAGCTCCCATCGCACCGTTCTACATGGATCACGGAGAAACGAGCCCTCTAAGCGTGTCGTTGGTCGGGAAACAGCAGCTTGTGGGCCCCGCTTTGGCTTCTCAGTTCCAGCAAGATCGAGAAAACGGGAAAATGGAGCTGGAATTTAAGGTAACCGGGAATATGAAGTTTAAAGATGAGAAATATTGGTACCCTTTTACGGTCAAGTGTCCAGCGCTTATGAAATTCGAGCGTAAAACTCCCCTGAGTTCAACCACACAGGGCAATGTGTGTTCAATAAAGTTCTAATATTGCCGATTTCTTTATCGTAATTAATGAATTTTCTATTTTCCCATGTCAACAACTCTGTTTTTAGTTATTGTGTGATTAATTAATCGAACCTCTACACTTAAGTAGGGGTGTAAATGAGCCGAGCCGGCACGACAAAAGCTCGAGCTCGAGCTTTCTGACGAGTCGAGCCTGAGCTCATTTTTAGTTGTTCGTGAGCCGCGAGCTGGTTGGCGAGCTTTATTTTAATCTTAGTTATTTTTTTCATTTTTATTTTAAATATAATTAATATAAAATAAATAATAAATTCATATAAATAATAATAAAAAAAAAATTGCAGGTCAATTTTTTTAATTTAAATTTATTTTATCATAATTTATAATAATAAATTTCTTATAATATTAATTAATAAAAAAAAATCCACAAAATGACTCAGGCTCGAGCTCGTCAAAATGGATGCGAGCTCGAGCTCGCCACAACGGCCAAATTCGGCTCGTTTACACCCCTACACCTAAGTAATCATCAGCCATCAGACCACAGAAGAGTAATCTAGAAACCTTAAAGCACAAGAACAGATTATTCTGCTAGACAAGTATAATAATAAATCAATGGATACATATATACATATTATTACAAATATAACCTCCAAAAAAATATCATTTAATAATCAATCATTCAACTATGGACAACTTGGATTGGAGGTCAATGAATTTATAAGAGATTTGGTGACCGCTGACAATTTGCTTTCTTGAATTTCAAGTTTCTGAGTAAGTACTAATCCAACACTTTGAAAATTAACCCCATAATCCAAAATACAAACATGGGATTGGATTGACTAATATAAACGTTCCTTCATTCATTAACTACCGCACTAATATGTACATAACACATGGATTGTTCAAGATTCGAAAAAAAAAAAAAAAAAAAAAAAAAGTCAAACTAAATTCGTGCTAGGGTTGACCGACATTGTATATACATATACGTATGTTTTCGACATTGTTGATAAGCTTTATTTTGATGTTAGGGATACCCTCTAGTATTCTAACCTTGCACAAGCTTATGATTCGATCGGAAAATCTCGTTTATCGTGTAAGAGTAGCTGACAATAAATATTATATGTAGGAAACCAACCATAAATCTAACTAAACACCAAAATTTGATGCGGCATTTTAAGCTATCTACACGAAGGAAGAATCCTCACCAAACAAATACATCATTCTCTCTCTCCTCCACGGATCCCCGAATTCCCCCACTCGACCCCTCGACAAATCGGATCTACAAACGGGGCAAGTTGTTTTGCATTTATCGATCCAAGACTCGATGCAATCTTTATGGAACACGTGCCTGCAGTTTTCGAGTCCTCTCAACTCTCCACGCATGCCCGTCAAACAAACGGCACACTCTTCATCACACGATTCCGACGCACGCGCATCGATGTTACGATTGTATTTAATGAGATGCTCTTTTGTCGACTCGACTATGAAGTGGGGCGGTAGAGGTACTAGTAGAGGAGAGGGGCGGTGCTCGACTTTGGGCTCGTTGTTAGATTCTTGCGAAGCACTACTAATCGAAGTAATAAGAGAAACTATTATCATTCGAAGTATTTCTTTGAGAATTCGAACTCGAAAAAACGACAAATTTGATAGGAGAAAAAAAGCCATGATCATATGTACTTGGAGAAGGAAGAAAGAGAATAGAAGTATGCTTTTGTAGGCAAAACAAATGATGAGAGAATGAGATGAATATAATAATATAATAATAATTGTGTCAAATTATACGACAACGTTTAATTCAAAGCTGTCATTTTTAGTGGGAACACTTTAAAGTTCAAATTACAAAATAAACAAGTACCAAGTTGCAAAGAGATGAATTATTCTTGAGAAAAATCTTCTGTCTTTTTCTTTTTTATTATTTTTTTTTTGTAATTTTTTGAGATACCAACGATAAGTGGAACCGGGCAATTAATAAATATAAATTGTAATAACTTCTTTGACTTTTGATTGTTTTTAATGTTTTGGATGACTTATGAATACTAGTCCAATCTCTTATCTAATCATTAAACAAAACTTATAAGTTTGAATACTAATCCTAATCAATATTCAAACTCAATGAGCAGCTAAAACTAACTACTCTCCTCAAGTGATTATGTATCCAATGTAGATTATCAGCAGTGAAAATTACAGTTGTCATCCCTCAAGTTTGCACATATTTTACATTTGGTCCTTCGTGTTTCAATAATTTAATAATTTTGGTCATTTTTGTCAATTTACTGTTGGTCCGTCATGTAAGACAGTGTTGGACACATGCTTGATTCAGTTATTATTAATGGAAAATTAACAAAAATGAGTAAAAATGTTGAATTTTTGAAATGCGAAGAACCAAATATGTCTTTTGCGAACACGGGGACCAAATATGAAATTGATGCAAACTCTAGGGATGAAATTTGTATTTCTTTTTTCTCCCATTATTGGCAACTGGCAAGTTATTGAAACACGTATTTTCTGATTATTTTCAGCAATTTATAAATTGGGCAAATGCCAAATAGGCCCATGACAAGGGCATTTAATTAAAAGAGGGATATCCAACTTTTTTGTCTTTCAAATAAATCCAACCCATTCAAACTTATTTGCAAATAAAGAAAATCCTTTTATATATACTAAAATTACACCCAATTCATTGAAACTCAGTTCAACTCCAATTTCATGATTTACACCCCAATTTAGTCCAATTTCATCAATTAACCAATTTTAACCATAATTTTAATTTTGACCACAATTTTGACCCGCCACCACAGGAGACCGCCGTCTCCGGCGTTGACTTTTTTTTTTTTAACTTTTTTTTTTTAACTTTTTTTTTTCTGATTTTTTTTCCGGTAGTAGGTCAACCGCCGTTGATCGCCGGGTCTCCGGCGTTGACTTTTTGTTTTTGTTTTTTTTTTTTTTTTTTTTCTTTTTTCGAATATTTTTTCTTCAAAATCATCAAAACAAAAGGAAATAGAAATACAACTCAAAACAACAGATATTTTGATAATATTACCGTTAAGCACAGAAGCTGCAAATTACTGCACAATCAATTTCACGCTTAAAGGCTAGCAGTTTGAACTGGTGCTGCAACGTCGTAATCAAACACCAAAACACCATCAACAACATCATTCTGCTCGTTCTCGAAAACTTTTTTATTTTATTTTATAATTTTGTTTTTTTTAAAAAAATATTTTAATTAATATTACTATCTTGGCTACTAAATTACTATCTTCAACAGTTATTTAACTGTCGGAGACAGTAATTTAACTGTAAATTGACTTTTTTTTTTCTTCAAATATATTTTAATTAATATTATTGTCTTGCCTGCTAAATTACTGTCTCCAACAATTAGTTAACTGTCGGAGACAGTAATTTAACTGTTAATTGATTTTTTTTTTAATATTTTAATTAATATTATTGTAATTCGTTGCTAAATTACTGTCTCCAGCAGTTATTTAACTGTCGGAGACAGTAATTTAACTGTTAATGACTTTTTTTTTCTTAAAAAAAATATTTTTAATCAATATTACTGTCTTGGCTGTTAAATTACTGTCTCCAGCAGTTATTTAACTGTCGGAGACAGTTATTTAACTGTTAATTGGTCTTTTTTTTTTCTTTTTGAAATTTTTTTCTTAAAAAAAATATTTTAATTAATATTACTGTCTTGACTGCTAAATTGCTGTCTCCAACAGTAATTTAACTGTCTCAGAGAGTAATATTAATAATATTACTGTTCGGGAAAATAATATTCATAATATTATTGTCCCAAACAGTAATATTACTGTCTGAGACAGTAATTTAGTAGCCAAGACAGTAATATTAATTAAAATATTTATTTCTAAGAAAAAAAAAATCGAAAGAAAAAAAAAAGGTCAACGCCGGAGACCGGCGGTCAACGGTGGTTAACCGGCCGGAAAAAAATTCAGAAAAAAAAAGTTTTCAAAAAAAAATAAAAAAGTAATTCAACGCCGGAATCTGGCCGTAAAAAAAAAATTCAAAAAAATATTATTTTGGGAGGTTAATGTGATATATTTGTTTAAATTCGGGGTCAATGTATAATATTAAGGAAGTTAGAACATAATTGATGGAATTGATAAGAATTATATTATGGAGGGTATTTTATAATGGCACATGAATGCCATTCGCCCTTTTAAATTAGGATAAGCTAGCATTCAATATTTGGTGAGTCACACTCACATCGGATGCCGTACTTATTTAAAAGTCTTTTGAGTTGGTTTCCCATAATTGTTTTTTTTTTTTTTTTTTTTTTTTTATAATTATTTAAATAATGTCATTTTCTTCTTCTACTTTTATTTTCCAAAATTAAATAAAAAAAATTAAATAAAATCCTCTAATATTAATGTCAGAAAGAATAGTCAATTTGGGAAATTAAGTCGGTGGGAATTGGGATTGCCTAGGAAGCAAGAGTACATACCCGATCATTTAGAACCGTTGGATCTTACTGTGACGTTTTCCGATCAAACCCTAAGCTCCACCGCCTTCGCCATCCATCTCCAATTTGAACCCCCCCTATCGTCTCTCTTCTTAAAATTCTTCACGCAATCGCCGCCGGAATATTCTACTTTCTCTCTCAGTAAGTAAAGTTCCTCTCTCTCTCTCTCTCTCTCTCTCTCTGTGTGTGTGTGTAGTTTCCTTGTATAATTTTGTAATTGAGTTCGTGATGATATTTCGTAATGAAAATATTTGATTTTTTTAAGCAAAAACAACTGATCTTCAGAGTCTGTGTGGTGGATTTTTGTGTTATTTTGTTAGTTTGCCATCTCGCTGTAACGGTATTTCAAATGATTTATGTAATCGGATCATAAATTGTGGATTGTTTATGTAAATAAAACAAATTACTACTCCAGAATGCAATTTGCATATGTTTTTTATTTTTATTTTTTCAAAAAAAAAAAAATAAATGGTTTGGATGGGAAAATTACATTTTCACCCCTCAAGTTTCAACTGGTTTCATATTTGGTCCTATATGTTTACAAAAAACACATTTGGTCCCTCATATTTCAATAATTTAACATTTTTTGTCATTTCTGTCAGTTTACTGTTAGCCCATTCCGTTAGTTTTAACGAAAATTTGACGTAAATAACTAAAAATATTGAAATTTTAAAATATGAGGGACTAAATGTGTTATTTTTCAACACGAGGGACCAAATATAAAATCAGTGAAAACTTGAGGGGTGAAAACTGTATTTCTCCCAAAGATTACTATTTTCATGATAGGCCATTTCCCCCCTTTTGGGCCTGATCAAATGATTTTTTTTTTCTTTCAAAGCCCACAAAATAAAGCCCCCCCTTTTTTTTGGGTGATAGAAATAAAACCCTAAATTGTTTTTAATTGAAACATCTGAACGATATTTTCCTCAAGAAACAACGAAAACCTATTCTGCCAAAGGAGAACCGACCACCATGAACAGCGGTAAGCACCGGGCACCTCGTTTCTGAATCTGGGCAGCTGCTTCTCTTTTCTAAATGAATCTCACCAGATCATTTCTTGCTTAAAAAAATCGGATTTTTTTTCCCCTTTTTGTTTTCGGAAATGATTTTATTTATGTTGGAAGAAGTTTGCTATTATATTGAAACATGTATAATAATAATTTGGCATGCTATTAATTTTAAAATACATATATAATTTTCTTGACAGTGATGATTTCTGACTGACCAAAATCATTTCTGTGAACAAATATCTGCTTGTTAAATTATTTGCTCTATTAGTTAGTTTTTTTTTGTTTTTCGATTAGTGATTGTAGTCTTGTATTAGGTTCAGGTGTTCTTGTTTGTGTTCTTATGCGGTCGGTACTTTGATATGTTGTGATGTTTTATTGTTCGCTTAATTACTGTAAATTATGTCGTAACGGAGATATGTTCAACTAATGTTTCATGTTTTCCCACTTACGTAGCAATGGAGCAAGATTCGGGTATGTTCACAGTGCAGTCGACCATCGGCAGTGTCTTGTGCTGCAAATGCGGTATCCTAATGCAACCAAACGCAGCAAACATGTGCGCCAAATGCCTCCGTTCTGAAATCGACATAACCGAAGGCCTTCAAAAGAGCGTCACCATAATCCACTGCCCCGAATGCGACACCTATTTGCAGCCACCAAGAACTTGGATCAAAGCCAATCTTGAATCCAAAGAGCTCCTTACTTTCTGTGTCAAAAAGCTCAAGAACTTAAACACTGTCCGATTGGTCCACGCAGAGTTCATCTGGACCGAACCCCACTCCAAGAGAATCAAAGTGAAGCTCAAGGTCCAAAAGGAGGTTCTCAATGGTGCGGTGCTCGAGCAGGCTTTCACGGTCGAATACACAGTGCTAGATCAAATGTGCGATTCTTGTTCGAGGGTCCAAGCCAATCCCGACCAATGGGTAGCTGCTGTGCAGCTAAGGCAGCACGTTTCTCACAGGCGAACCTTTTTCTACCTCGAGCAGCTAATTCTCAAACATGATGCAGCCAAACATGCTATAAGAATTCAGCAGATGGATCAGGGAATCGATTTCTTCTTTGGTAAGCGGAGCCACGCCCTCAAATTCGTTGACTTTGTCGGTAAAGTATCTCCCGTTAGGAGCCGTAACGATAAGCAGCTTGTTTCTTTCGATTCGAAGAGCAACGACTATAACTACAAATACACTTTCTCGGTCGAAATAAGCCCCGTTTGTCGTGAGGACTTGATTTGCCTCCCTCCTAAACTTGTTAATAGTTTGGGAAATCTTGGGCCAATCGTATTATGCACTAAAGTGACCAACAGCATAGCTTTGTTGGACCCTTTTACCCTCCGCCACTGCTTTTTAGACGCGGATCAATATTGGAGAACCTCATTCAAGGCCTTGTTATCAAGCAGGCAGCTTGTGGAGTACGTAGTCTTGGATGTCGAGCCTGTTTCTTCGGAAGTAACTGTCGGTGGATCGCGGTATATTCTCGCCGACGCCCAGGTGGCGCGCGTGTCTGATTTCGGGAAAAACGACACGATTTTCAACGTGAGGACGCATTTGGGGCATATTTTAAACCCGGGAGACAACGCGCTCGGGTACGACTTGTACAGTGCCAACAGCAACGATATCGAGCTGGACAAGTACAAAGGGTTTTCTATTCCGGATGTGATTTTGGTTAAGAAGAGCTATGAAGAGAGGAGGCAGAAGAAACGTGGCAAGGCAAGAACGTGGAAGCTTAAGTCGCTTAACATGGAGGTTGATAGTACTGCGAGAGGGTATAACGAGGAGAAGATTAGTTCGGAGTATGAGCAGTTCTTGCGGGATTTGGAGGAGAATCCGGATATGAGGTTTAACTTGTCCTTGTATCGGAATAAGGAATATCAGCCTTCGGAAATGGCTTCCTCGGTTGCTGATGGAGATGAACTTCCTTCGATACCGTTGGACGAGTTGCTTGCGGATCTTGATTTGAGTGACGTGGAATCGAATGATGATGATAGCATGGCAGAGTGAATTTACTTGCTTCCCAAATTTTTGATGGAACTGTTCCATCAAGTCTTTCATTTTTAAGGGGTTTTTTTTTCTTTCTTTTCTGGCTACTGTTGAATGTTGGCAATTTGGATTTGTAGGTTGGAGTGGCTTGATTTTGTGTGGGTGTATGCCACCACTTCTTTTGCAAGATTAGATGCCATATGTTTTTATTATGTTTTAATGATATGTTATTATGTTTGACAAGTTGAAGATACTGCTGCTATACATACATATCTTTACACCGTTTACATTTTGAATTTGAAGATATTAATGTATGTGTTTAGCTTGCTCAACTTTTATGCACGTGGTTTTGTAAGTTTATTTCAAGGGTAAATTGCTGTCACACCGTTGAGATAAGTTTAAACTTTAAATTACGAAACAAATATCTTTTGTTTGAGTAATTACAATCACCTTGCATCAACTATGAATCCCGTCATATGTCCAACTTTATCGTCTCAAATTCAAGAGAATCTTCTACTTACATGTCCACTCATGGTGTCAAATTCAACATAATCTACTAGATTTTGTGAAATATTCTCTACTTTGTAGCCGTTTTGTAAAGCACCACAATAGAGACACATCTGATGATAATCTTGTTTCAAAATGTGGAGTTCGAATCGGTTAAAACAGGTACAAACTATAAAATATTCCACATAATCTAGAAAATTCATTAATTTTGACACCACAACGGTGGACGTGTAAGAAAATTCATAGTCAAAGGGTGATTGTAATTACTCAAACAAGAAAAGTTTTTTTTTCATAATTTGACTTTACCTCAAGGTGGTGTGGCCGTAAAAACAAAAGTTGAAATAACCGCTTATTTTTTTTTAAAGTTTGAGTTATTTTAATTTGTACTTTTACTATGCAAAAAATATAATAATAGCAGATCATTTCAAATATAATTATATATTAAAAAAAATCAATTTGAGTTATAATTTATTCGTTGGGCCTAATTATAAGATAGAAAAAAAAAAAAGGTGAAGCCTGAGAAAGGGTAAGGCCCAAAAAGAAGCCCTAGGCGGCAATGGCAATGAAATCTATCTAAATTCCACGTAAACAAAGCAAAATCAGCTCTCTCTCACTCACTCACTCTATCCGTTAATTCCTTTGTTGCCATTTTCTCTCTCAGCTTCCCTTTCCTCTTCTTCATCATGCCAGGTCCGGTTGTTGATGAAATTGAATCCCAGATTAAATTCCAGGTACCCTAGCTTTTTAATTTATCCCAAAAAAATTTAATCTTTTTTTTTTTTTAAATTCTTTTTTGAATTTATTTTGATTTAATTTTAGGATGAGCCTGTGGTGGAGGATGTGAAGGAAGATGACGACCATGATGACGACGCTGAAGATTCAGACGACGAGGATGAAGATGGCAGCCCAGGTTTTTTTTTTCTTTTTATTTATTTATTTGTGGTTGGCATAATAATGGAAACAAAAGCTTCTGCTTTGGAGTATTTTTTAATTTATTTGCTTCATCAAATACCCATTTGCTCTAGTGACTCTGTTTTACTGAATATTTTATGGTACATTGGCTATCTTTATTAGTGTGTGTGTGTGTGTGTGTGTGTGTGTGTGTGTGTGTGTGTGTGTGTGTGTGTGTGTGTGAGAGAGAGATACACTTCCAAAATGCAATTTGTTAAGCTTGATTTTAATCTGAAATGCTTTTAACTAGTCTTGGCTAATGTCATCATACTTACTTCTACTCGTCTCGTGCTCGTATGTATTGCTACGTTCCACGGTTGTGTAGTTCGTGTTGGGCCTCGTCTGCCAATCTTGATTGAATCGTATCATTTATTAATTGAATTCGTTATGGTTACATTGTCCATGCTAATATTAGTGCATAACTAATCTTATGATTGTGATTTGTGATTAAAAAACTTGATAAATCTTGATTATATTGTCTGTCGAGTCCTACTATCCTAACCACCTTTTTTCCTCGTCTTATTTTGTTCGAAAAAAGGTGGCAACGAGACTTCCAAGCAGAGCAGGAGCGAGAAGAAGAGCCGTAAGGCAATGCTGAAACTCGGAATGAAACCCATTACCGGTGTTAGCCGTGTCTCGATTAAGAGAACCAAAAATGTAAAAAAAAAGAAACAGAAAACTAATTATCTTTTCATTATTCCGTTCATAAAAAAATTAATATTTTTTTTTCTAATTGCAGGTGTCGTTTTACATATCGAAACCAGATGTGTTCAAGAGCCCAAATTCGGAGACGTACGTGATATTCGGAGAGGCCAAGATAGAGGATTTGAGCTCTCAGCTGCAGACGCAGGCCGCTCAGCAGTTTAGGATGCCGGCCAATATGGCTTCCGTGATGGCCAAGGGGGAGACAGCAGGCGCGGGCCCCACTGGACAGGTGGACGAGGAAGAGGACGAAATTGACGAAACGGGGGTCGAGCCGCGTGACATTGATTTGGTTATGACACAGGCAGGTGTGTCGAAGTCGAAGGCTGTCAGTGCACTCAAGACTCACAACGGCGACATTGTCAGTGCGATCATGGAGTTGACAACTTGAACGTTATATGTATTTGTTTTTGTTTGTGGATTTTTTTCGCATTTTTTGTTTTTCGTTGACTAATTGATTAATTGGAGAATTTATTTGAGTTATGAAAATTGTGGTCGTCTTGTTTTGTTTTACTTTTTTTCGAATCTGAAGAGATTCGGAGCTCTGGTGAATTCTTGGATTTTGGATAAATGAAATAATAGTGGATCCCGTTTTCCTCTGTTTTCTTTTTTTAAGTGTCGTTTAAGATAGATGCACATAAATTACATAAACGATCAAATTATGCTCTTTTGAAATGGCTTATTGTTTATCTTTTTGTTTTTTCTTATGTTTAGGACATACGATGCAATTAGGACGTCGTGCTTCGACTGTAGTTTATCCAATCGTGATGTGTGCATATAATTCTCAATTAATTTTTAGACTTCTGAGTTCCCGAATATCAATCAAGAGCAATATTTCTTCATGTTGGAGATGCTCTAACAATGCATGTACAAGTTTGCTTAACAGGGAATAAATCAAATAATGTATAACCGCATTTACGTACAAGAAAATAAATTAAATAATAAATATCGATTTTCTGCATAAACTTGGATATCGTTCAAGAAAACACCAATACCAGCAGCAGATCGAAAGAAAAAAAACGAAAAAAAAAATTATTAAAAAAAGAAGCAGCATAATTATATAGTCTAGAAGTAGACGAGAAAGGAAGAAGAATCTGCAGTGTTCATCGAGAACCGAAAATCGACACGCGTTGAAAGAAAATACAGCTGCTCTCTTACTCTTGAAATTACTAAACTGTACTCTTGTATCAATTCCACCATTTTTCCTACTTTGATCATCTTCAATTCTCTCTCCTCCCACTCTATAATGTGTTTGTATAAATAACAAAGAGGAGAGAGAGAGAAGAAATAATAAATTTGCGTAACATGCTAAATCATTATTTCATTTTTGACTTCATTCTATTACTTCATTGTTACTTATGGGACTTTCCTATCTTGTGTCACCTAAAAAGTAAGTAATAATTGCACTAATTAGTAATGTTAATGATTCGGTCCCCATTTTCGTTTCAGAATTATACTCCGATTTGCATTTTAATCCTCCGACAATTTTCTTTCCACGAAATCTGCCCTAAACTAAATTACATTTGCCACAAAGTCGCATGTGAGTTTCGGGTTTTTCATAACAAGAAAGCCCGTTGTATTTAAAAAAAGAAGAAAAAAATTGAACTAATTTCAGTTTATCTGTGATTCTTGGTAACTTCCGTATAAATGTGCTCCACAACTTCATATATACAACACAAGTTTCCTCTATCCAAAGTAAAAAAAACATTGGATAGCACAATAAACATAATATGTACTGCTCGGACGATGAAGAAAAAATCGTGACGAATGAATATTCTGACCTGACAGAAGAAAAATAATCTTCGAACTCTGGTTATCGTTCATTCGTTCAACTCATCTGGCTTGTGCATGTTTCTTGCTTTGTCACTCTGCATAATCCAACCAATAAAGTTCAGAAAGAGCATATATATATATATATATATATATATATATATATATACATTACGTGTGTGTGTGTGTGTGTGTGTGTGTGTGTGTGTGTGTGTGTGTGTGTGTGTGTGTGTATATGTATGTATGTATGTATGTATATGTATGTATGTGTGAGAAAAGAACTGAAATTTGGTCCATATAAACTCACCTTCAACTTCATGGATGATGTTCAGCTATATATAACCACTCGATTCTCCGATTGTTCTTCTTCGATCCGAGGCACTACTAAAAGCTGATAATAGCCACGAAATCAAGAACCGTAAACTCCAAAAAAAGAAAATTGTCTTATGTTTCAAGAGAAACAGTAATCCCTCTAATACGACAATCTCACTAAACTACGAGAGGAGCCCACGGTTAAATAAATTATCCAGTTTTCTCCATCGTTCTCTTATCTAAATACGAACCTACTAAAAACAAGGTTACTTTGTACTTGTACAGTCCACCTTGGCTGGCCCATGCCACATAGATTTGAGGAGCCATTAACCTTTGTGGAAAAGCATACAAATCCTCGATTTTTTGTTTATCTCTTTTGTTGCACCGAGAAATCTTCTGGAAGATTCTATGATGATGTCAGCCGTAAGCATGGCATTCTCACCGGTGAAAAGACAACAGTTAGTCGAGCGTGGTCGGATAGAGAGTAATCTTCGGGCCATTTCCCTTTCTCTACTTCTGTAGGGAAGAGAACTGCGTTTTTTACACTGAATCCAATAGTTTGCTCTGTCTTGTTTATGACATCATCCAATACCTTGCCCCTCACTTCATCTATTTGGTCTGAGCATGCATTCCATATTCGCTTCTGTAATAGACAAAAGTAGCACATGGGCTTATTCAACCGAATAAGTTTCTACAATTTACGGATTTCCAAATATATATATTTGTGCTAAGTACCTTAAATTCTACATAGTCAAGAACACCATTTCCATCAATATCTACTTGCTCCCACAGTTCTTTAATCTCTTCAGAACTGAGCCCATGGCTGTGGCCAACCAAATTAAGCTGTGGGAGTGGCAATAGAATGATGTGGTACTTGTTTATTTTCTAGAAAAATGCTTGGAATTTATAATTTAAAAAAAAAAAATCGGATATAAAGAAATGCTGCCTACCTGGCACAATGCTTCGTAGAAGCCAGAGTAGGTGATGTAATGGCCATGGCTATTTGCTTTTAGAAAGGCAAATGCATCGTCCTCTGTTACTAAGGCTCGCCTTAGTTGATGCTATAAGAAAAATAGGAAAATTTAATCCGAAATGAAGGCAAAAAACATGTACGAGTAATTAGTAACTCACAGCAATGTGTCACTGAAATATTCCAATTGACATTTCTAACAAGAAATTTTAAAAAGTCACGACGTTGTACCTTGAGCATTCCAGAGAGTGCTTCGCTCCAGCTTGTTTTAAGTAATTTCATATATCTATTGGGATTGAGAAGCCATATAAAATCTACACCACAAATGTTTCCACGATGATTACGGTGGCTCACCCACTGCACGAAAGAATATGGCATCAAAAACAAGAAATATAGTATAGTAAAAAAGTCTCCAAGCAAGTAAGTCTTACCTTTTGTGCATCTGTATCTGTATATAGATGTGCAGCATCGTACGAAGATATAAATCCCTGAGCCCTAAGAAACTTGTAAACATGACCCTTTTTGCTCCCATTCCAGTCACTAAATAAGTTAAAGATACAACTAAGTATCGTATCAAATTTAATGTGAAAAATCAGATAGCTACACGGTACATACATACATACCCGCAGAGTAAAATAGGTAAAGGGTTGAGATTGTTTTCCTTTTGGTATGACTCCACATACTGCAATATTCTGTAGACCTATCAAATTAATACGATAGCCAGTAAGATGACACCTAATAATAATACCGATAAATTTATTCAATCCGTGCAACCGAGTTTTAAATATACCTGACGCAGACGCTCCAAGCACAAACTCGAATTATGAGGAAACAGTAAATGAGTGTTCACTATTAGAATTTCGTGGCGTGTGTTATTGTTTCGATATTGTGAGAAAGGCACGATTAACTCGACGTGTAGCAGTTGAGCAACACGGTCTCCGAAATCATTGAAAAGCAACTCTCTGTGGCTGATGGTTCTAAAGTAGTCCTTATGCACAGCAGTTAGGAGACCTTTCGAAGTTCAAGAAAAGCAAAAATATTACTTCGTAACTCATCAAACAGAACAGTTGTTACAGATGCTTTGAATGCATAGAAAACAATGGAGGGTTTTTGAATTCCATCCTTCTCGAAACACTTGTAATATGTGAAATCATGACAGCACAAAAGAATTTATAATATACTATAATTAAAACACGGGAATACATACCGTCTCCTCGATTATTTGTCCTGGCAAGCTTGAAACTGTTATAGCCAGCATTTCCGAGCCTCTTATCGTAAATACTAACCAACTCTTCGTTCCCAACCCAGAATTCCTGCACCATTTTATAATCATATACAACATTTCTTCGAAAAAACAACCCGGAAATGTTAGAGAGAGAAGAAACAGAACCTGAAGGCAGATAATAGAAGCTCTCTCATATAGCAACCAATCCAAAATCCTTTTGTTCCTATTCAGCCAAAAATCCTTCACATCACTCTCTCTGTAACTCGGATCCTAATAAAAATCCCCATTAAAAAAATCAATTACGTGAGAAGAGGAAAAAAGCAACATATGCATATATACATAAATGTATAAATCAATACCGAAAGAAGAACGATCAACAAAAATCGATAATCAAAATTTAACAAGTATCTCAGAAATTAATTGTGCGTTTTAATCGGGAATTTTAATTTACCTTGTGACTGATCCTTTTGTAAATAGGGGCGAGAATATTGAAAGTTGTGCAGGAAACACAGGTTGGGTCTTTGATTGACGAGGCAATTGCGTAGCTGCCGATTCTGGAGACCCGCCGCCGACTGTTGATTCGCCTGTTCTTCGTCCCCATTCATACGTATATACGCAGAATTATTGTTTTCCAAGCAGGTATCGATAGATACATATACGAATGCAAAAGAGATGGCGGACGCATCTATATTTTGAAAAAAAAAACAAAAAAAAATATACAAAAACGCGCACGATAATCTGATGAAGGCGAATGAATGCAAACTATATATCCGAGTCGACCAGGCTGGAAATTATGTTTAAACTCGGGGGATGATGATGATGATGGCGGCAATGGTTTGTAGTTTGTATGTGTGAGATTGATGAGAGAGAAAGAGAGAGAGAGGGTAGAAAGAGGAGAGAAAATCGTCGTGTGTGTGTACTGTGTGTTTTGTGCTTTGTTATGTTTGTGTGTGTGTGTGTGTGTGTGTGTGGTGCTCTATTTTGAGTGTGTGTTGTGTTTTTATAATGTTTGTCGAAATATTATTACAGTTAAACCTCTATAAATTAATACAGTTGGGACCATCAATATTTCATTAATTTAGCGAAATATTAACTTATCGATAAATTAATAATTATTAATTTATACATTAATTAATAACTTATTAATTTATGAAATTACTTTTATTATTATTTTCAATAAATACATTTTTTTTAAAATTTTTACGTATATAATATTCATTGTACCATTTGTTCAATGCACTATAGAGCCCGTTTCACGAATGGAAGCTCTTAAAACAGTAATGGTATATAACGATTTATGTTGAGTTATAAGAAAACTATACCGAAAGTTCTAACCATGTTAAGAAAAGTGAGGGACGAGATTGATGGTAATGTGAACTTCTACAAGAAACAAGTGAGAATTAAATTATATTATATTAAGTCTTTATAGATCTATAAAATATGCACTATACCATGTAATTTAAGAATTTTTTTATGCATTATTAATTTATATATTATATGGGGCTTCTTAAAATTTCCGAATGTGTATTATCTTATAAATTTAGCGAATTATTAATTTAGCACGTTGTCCCCGAGTCGGGACCGGAAAAATTTATTATTTAAGCGAGGTTATTAATTTATCGGGTATTAATTTATCGAGGTTCTACTGTATTCTATTTTTCGTTCGGAAAAAGGAAAAATAATTTGAACCGCCACGTGTGGCAATTTCTTCAAATTTCCCTCCTCTTTTACGTGGCTATTTAACTTGGTTTTTTTAATGATTTTGAATTTTTAAATAAATAAATTAGTCTTATATAAATTATCCTTGCGTTCAAGCAAATTTTCACAAAATTCTCATTCATTTCTACTTCTATACTTCATGATTCAATGCTTAGCGGGAAAAAAGAAACTTGGTGCAAAAGAATAAATAAAATTGATGTAAGAACATTCGCGAAATAGTTCAAGAGTCGGGCTGGAGAATTAACCGAAAATGTGCGTTTTTTTATGGAACTGAGAATGTGGAGTTAGCGCACACAAGTTTCTCGTTGTCCAAACAGAAAACGTATGTTCGCCTCATCTACAAAATAAATTTAAATCACTTTGCGGCATCCTGCAAAATTTTCAATAATCACATTTCGACGCTCAACTTAATTTTTTTTTATTGGTCAATTCAATTATTGTTGGGTGATAACAAACTCAATGCTAGAAATTAAATAAGTAGATAAGAGATTACATACATTTACCTATTGCGTAATATACATTACCATTATATAAATGTAGAATTTGGATCAGCATAACTGGAGTTCAACTTTGAGCCTTAAATTTAGCCGATATTTGATATACATTATATTTATATTCGAGTGAACTTATTTGGCCTAAATAGATTATTGGGTCCATCATATCAATAATATATGAGGATTTCACACAATATAATACATATAATAAAACTTGGTGCAAATCTTTTTTACACAAAAACTAATTATAGCTTTCAACATTCGAAAATCGAAAAGGATCCTAGTGTCTAGAAGTCAAATACACTCGAATTAAAATGAACGGTAAAATTTGTTTTTGATTTTATTAAATTATGGTAGTATTATACTTTGAATTCCCCCCTTATTATCTTTTATTACTATTCATTAACCAATAAAATCATCATTTTGTTAAAAAAAAGAAAAAAAAAAAGATTTTTTTTTGCCCCATAGTATTGGACTTTTAATGGGGGCTAAAGCCCATAACAAGCGATTTTTGAAATATATGTTGGGCCCATTCGGGCTTACGGACGGGCCAGGCCCACTTGACACACTTTGCATTCATATGACCTAATATTCGTGTTATCTCTAAACTACCCTTCTCCTCACATTATATTCGTTTCTAGGGTTTTATATTTCCTCCGCAGCTCGAACACACTAGTGAGAGAGAGAGAGGTGAGGGAGAGAGAGAGAGTGAGAGGCGCCGCCCGTAGATCTGCACATCATTTAACAACATGGTCAGTTTCTCGCACTACACTGAATTTGTTTTTGTTGATTCGTTAATTGTTGGCCTTGTTTAAATTGTGGTTTTATTGTCGAAGATTGAATGTTTTTTTGTCGAAGATTCGTGATTGTTCTTTGAAGTGTCTCTGTATCTATAGCTGTGTTTATTTATGTATAGTTCAGGTATCGAAATCATGTTTGAGTACTAACTGAATAAGTGAGATCCGAATTAGTTTAGTTTGGAAATGTGTATGTATGTATAACTGTAATGTCAGTTTCTAGCTTTTTGTTCGTGTAATTAATTGAATGTTATCAGTATACTTTGAGCTATCCGCATACGATGATCGGAACCGGAGATAATCGATGTATTGACACAAATGCTGATTTTTATTTAGGAAATTAAATTTCATTTCATGTTAATTAGAATTTAATTCCACAAATATATCATTGTTGTCAATCTGGTATTTTGTCGATACTGCTATAAGTTCGCACCAATTGAAGAAATTGCCCTAGTTATACATGTCAGATTATTCTTTGGTTATAGTTGTTGCTGTAACTCAATTTCGACTGCGTGTTTTTTCTAATGCTGTATTGAATCGCAGGCGAGAGGTTTGAAGAAGCACTTGAAGAGGCTCAATGCACCCAAGCATTGGATGTTGGACAAGCTTGGTGGTGCTTTTGTAAGTGAATGTCTTTTATCTTGGCATTTGACCGGTTTTTTTGTATTAGTAGTTCTTATTTGACTGTTGTTTCGACTTATCTGAATGCAGGCCCCCAAACCATCGTCCGGGCCTCACAAATCCAGGGAGTGCTTGCCATTGATTCTGATTCTCCGAAACAGACTCAAGTATGCCCTAACTTACCGTGAGGTCATTGCTATCCTTATGCAACGCCACATTCTCGTTGATGGCAAAGTCAGGACCGACAAGACCTATCCTTCTGGTTTCATGGGTATGCCTCTCTCGCGCTACTCTTACTCGTTTTCGATTTACCTTTTAGTTCATTAAAGATCAATGTTTTGTTTGTCGGTGCATTGTACAACTTCTGTAGTAACTTTATTTCCTTGGATTTTGTTTTCTTAAAAGATTTTATGTAGAATGATATTTTTCAATTTCATCAACATTGTTGCTTAATTTACATTTTGTTGTCCCTTATATACAGATGTTGTCTCTATTCCAAAAACCAACGAGAACTTCCGTCTTCTGTACGATACCAAGGGCAGATTTAGGCTGCACTCCATCAGGGATGAGGAAGCTAAGGTTTGTTCACTTCGAAAATTAATTTATCGAATCTTTATCTTATTAGAACCCGTTTAGAGGATTTGAAAGTTAAATCATTTTTTTTATTTATGGCAATGCAGTTCAAGCTGTGCAAAGTCCGTTCGATTCAGTTCGGAAAGAAGGGCATTCCGTACCTGAACACCTACGATGGAAGGACCATCCGCTACCCAGACCCACTCATCAAGGCAAACGACACCATCAAGCTCGATCTGGAGACCAACAAAATTGCAGACTTCATCAAGTTCGACGTGGGCAATGTTGTGATGGTGACAGGTGGCAGGAACAGGGGCCGTGTTGGGATTCTCAAGAACCGTGAGAAGCATAAGGGAAGCTTCGAGACTGTCCACATCCAGGATTCCACAGGCCACGAGTTTGCTACTCGATTGGGCAATGTCTACACTATCGGTAAGGGCTCCAAGCCGTGGGTTTCTCTTCCCAAGGGTAAGGGTATTAAGTTGACGATCATCGAGGAAGCTAGGAAGAGGATTACTTCCCAATCCGCAACTGCTTAAGTAGATATAATTACCCGAGTTTTTCGTTCGTGAATGTGTTGGCTGAAGTAGTAGTACCATGAGATGATGTCGTTTTGGATATTTATAGTATCCTTTTTGAGGGAACTTGTGATGCTATCTTCTGTTAAGTTTTTTTGACGATTTATATTTGTTTTGTTTTGTCGGTTGGATTATTTAATTTTGGATAATTTTACTGCAATTTCATAAGCTTGTTTTGTTCATCTTATTTAATTTTATTTGGTTACTTCGAATGGTTTGAAATAGGGAATGATATTCATTGATTGAAGAAAAACTGATGCTTTGTTTGCTAGGTCAAGTTATGAACAGAGCATACACTATTCATTTCCCTTCTGAAAAACCTTTTACTTATCAAAAGTATTGCAGATTGAATGTTGTTTTCTCAAATCAAAACTGTACGATATTTTTTTGAAATAAATCAAAAAATAAATATAGATTATTATTTTTTTTGAAATAAATCAAAAAATAATTACAGAAGTCACTATTTTTTCAAAACCTATGGCAGCAAATATATTTTTCTTCCCCTATTTTTTATGAATACAAATAAAATTTAGAGCAAATTACGGCCCCTGAGTTATGGTCAACTTACGAAAACCTCCCCTCCTGTTTGGGTAATTACAGCACCCCTCAACTATGTTTATCTTACGAAAAAAACCCCTCAACGAAAAAACCCCCCAACATTTCATACTGTTACCGAACTAAATATACGATTTACTTCGGTAAATAACCGATTTATATGAATTTTATGTAAAACTATTTAAAATGAGGGATGACTGTAATTACCCAAACAAGAGGGGTTTTTTCGTAATTTGGCCATACCTCAGGGGTTAGCCGTAATTTGTCTTTAAAATTTAATTACATTGAGTGTATTATTATAATATAATAATAATTTTAGGCATTATATCATCATATACGTATTTATGGGCTTGTTTCCGAAAGCCCAATACGTTTTCATTTCACTTCATATAAATAACTCTCTCTAGGGTTTTGACACTCCTCCCTGAGCTCTCTTCAACCACCGTCGTCTGATTCAGAGAGAAGAGAGAGAGAGAGAAAAAAATCACAAAAAATGAAGACTATTCTCTCCTCCGACACCATGGATATTCCCGAAGGTGTGAAGATCAAGGTGCACGCTAAAGTGATCGAAGTCGAAGGTCCTAGAGGAAAGCTCTCCCGCAACTTCAAACATTTGAACCTCGATTTCCAGCTGACCACCGACGAAGAAACCGGTAAGAAGAAGCTGAAGGTCGACGCCTGGTTCGGCAGCCGGAAAACCACCGCCTCCATTCGCACCGCCCTCAGCCACGTGTCCAATCTGATCAAGGGCGTTACCCAGGGCTACCGTTACAAGATGCGCTTCGTGTACGCCCATTTTCCAATCAACGCTTCCATCACCAACAGCGGCACCGCCATCGAGATCCGCAATTTCCTCGGCGAGAAGAAGGTATGCCAAACTTTTGATACATTTTTTATGAACTTTTTGGGGTTATTTTTATATGTGGTTGTGTATTTGTTGAATTGATTTTCTGTGTTTCTGTCTCTTGGTTGATTTATTTTATTGGTTGAAAAAATATTTGATTTTTTTTTTGGTATTGGTTGTATCTGAATTAATTTAGGTTTACGACCTTGAACAAGCGAAATTTAAATGTAGTATTAAATTGCTTGAACCTGTTGTTGACTGAACGAGCCTTCGATCTTAAATTGCTTGAATATGGAATCAAAACGTGTAACGACAATGTACCCGTTAAAAACCTACTGTTTGACTTAATCAGTTTTGATTTCATTTGTTTTTAAGCTCGAGTATGGAATTGAAATGTGTAATGATGGTAAAAATTATATAGATTATTGTTAAAAAATTACGTGTTTTTCTGCGATGTCCGTCTTGCGTGCTCTTGCTTAGTAGGCTTTACTATCGACTAGTTGTGGATGAACCAATCCTAACTAGAATTAACGGTATCCATTTTGCATTTTTCCATAATTTTTTGGTCAAATATAACAGGTGAGAAAGGTGGATATGCTCGACGGTGTATCAATTGTGAGGTCCGAGAAAGTGAAGGATGAGCTTGTCTTGGATGGTAACGACATCGAGCTCGTTTCTCGATCTGCTGCCTTGATTAATCAGGTAATAAGATGCGATCTCTATTTATGCGACTTTGTAGTTACATTGTGAAACATGTCTTGCACACTAAACACTAAGTCCTTGTTTGGGTGGGGAAATTAGCTATTATTAACTGGATAATTGGACTTTGTTTTATGTTTGTTATACCCAATAACTTGCCGGGTCGACCCGCTGATATTATGTTTTCATGTCTTATCTTGTCTTTTAGTTAGTTCTTTTTTGTTGGACGTCCCAGGGTCCGATAAAATAATTGGGTTTTCATTAGATCATTTAATGATATATCTTGGCAACCAAACGAGGCCTAATATTATTGTTTTTGTTATTTGAACAGAAATGTCATGTGAAGAACAAGGATATCAGGAAGTTTCTTGATGGTATCTATGTGAGTGAGAAGGGAGCTATAGCCGTGGAGGAATAAGTAGTAGTTTAATCTTATGCTATCTTTATTTATTATTCGGTATCTCGTTTTGATGAATTTTGTTTGGAGACTTCTTACATATATAGTTGAAGATGAATTTGTTATTTTCCTTGGCGACGACATCTTTCTAAGTGAGGTTTGTGAATTTATTTGTGTGTCGGGATGTTTTAATGGTGAAATTTTTGATTACATTGCTTGCTTCATTTTTTTGTTTTCAGTCTATAGTCCAGACATGGTTTAAACTCTTGGTAATTATTTCTCCTGAACTTCTCAGTAGTTGCAATTGGTAACAAACTTTGATCATTATCACACTTCTAATTTGAGTCTAATTGTGCTTCCTAGTTAACTTGATTTAAATGGAAGGTGGGATGATCTTTCTCATAGTTTAGATTTGTCCCGGAGAAATATATTTTTAAATAGATATTATTTTTTAATTCGGTTTAATTTAATTCAATTTTTATTTAGTCTAAATATTAAAAGTAGTGGTATATTTATAAATATGCTATATAAACATATGTAAATTTTTATTTATATATATATATATTTTTCCAATACACACATTCAAATTATATTTTACTCTTAACTATCAATTTGTCATTGATAGTTAGATTATGTCATTGATCGTTAGATTGTGTAAATAATTATGTAAACAACAAAAATATTTTAAAATATTACTATTCAAGTATGTTTATGACTTTTTAGAAATTGCAAATTATTATGTAAACAACAATTTTTTTTAAAAATTTGCTATTCAAGCATGTTTATGACTTTTTAGAAATTGCAAATTATTCCAGAAAGTGTTCGGCAGAAAGTTAGATTATGTAAATAACTATATAAAAAAACAAAAATATTTTAAAATTTGCTATTCAAATATATTTCTAACTTTTTAGAAATTGCAAATTATTTCATAAAGTGTCCGGCAGACATTCTCGAAAGTTGGACACGAAACGTGTCAAAGTGATAGAAGTTGAAGGCCCGAGGGGAAAATTCTCCCGAAATTTCAAGCATTTGAATCTCGATTTTCAGCTGACCGCCGACGAAGAAAATGGTAAGAAGAAGCTCAAGGTAGACGCCTGGTTCGGCAGCCGGAAAACAACCGCCTCCATTCACACCGCCCTCAGCCACGTGTCGAATCTGATTAACGGCGTTACTAAGGGTCACCGTTATAAGTTGCGTTTTGTGTACGTCCATTTTCCTATCAACGCTTCCATCACCAACAGCGGCACCGCAATTGGGATCCGCAATTTCTTGGGCGAGAAGAAGGTTTGGAATTTGAAAAAAAAAAACTAATACAACTTTTTATTTGTTTATTTTGGCAAAATCGAAATAGGATTGATCCATTTTAAGATTGAACGATTGACAAGACACCGGATACTTATCGAACACTTGTTGGGCTATTTTTGTATTTACCGAAAAAAGAAGAAGCAACAAATACTTATCGAGCCAAGGGATGGGGTCCCTAGGGGCGAGGGATTTCACCTTTTGGTACAAGAATGAAAAAAGAAAGATAAACAGATATTTTGTAAAAAAAAATTAAAAAATGTTAAATGCATATATGAAATATTATATGCATATAAATAAAATGATAATTGCAGTTTGAAATTTACTTAATGCATATTTTGAATTTGTGAGTGGAGGGGCATTTTTTGAATGAATTTTATAAAGGGTCCATTTGATATACACCCTTAATATGGAAAATATATAGGGATAGGTCCACCCCTAAAATTCTTCCTTTGAGATAACCCCTGGAGAGGCAAAAGTACTATTGTGCCCTTATATCTAATTTTGCCCAACTGCATTCAGTATTTTTACTAACTGCATTCAGCATTATGATCAACTGCAACTAACATTTAGACCTGCATTTATCATATTATCAGATTTTTTTAATAAAAAATTATAAATGTTTATTTTATTATTATTTTTTATATATACCTCTGTTGTATTTTTAATTTTTTAATTTTTTTAATTTTTTTAATTTTTTAAAATTGTTTAATTTTTGATTTTTTTGAATTTTGAATTTTTTTAATTTTTTAAAATTTTTATTTTCTTTTAATTTTTTAATTTTTTTAATTTTTTAATTTTTTTAATTTTTTTAATTTTTTTAATTTTTAATTTTTAATTTTGTTTCAATATTTTGATAAATTTACTGTATTGAAATTGACTACACATGACTATTGTATATATATATTGGTGCAATATATATTACATATGATTATATAAAAAAAACTTCATCTACACTAAATACAAAAATTCACAATATAATCTTGATATTATAAATCAATTAATACCCAACAAAAAATTGGAAAAACACAATCATCAACATCACTATACATCAGAAAAAACACATAACTTATATAGCTTATATATAACAATATATTACTACGAGTTACTACACGTGACCATATATGACTACACGTATATGACTACATATGACTATATATGACTACATGTATATGACTACACGTGACTATATATGACTACATGTATATGACTACACGTGACTATATATGACTACATTTATATGACTACACGTGACTAAATATGACTATATGTATATGACCACGTGTGACTATATATGACTTGATAACGCAAATCTCTCCTACACTGAAACAAGTACAACCAAGTTTCGAATAAGACGTAATTGTCGAGAAACTGCCGGTCCTCCCACTGTATCATCATCGACTCGCCTGACAGACTCCTCATCCAACACGAGAGTAGCTTCTAGAGTTGGTACAAATCTGCTTGTTGAAGCAAATGTCTCAAAGAACAATTGCCATGATACTGAACATAAAAATAATTCAGACCCTCAATCATATTGGAAATATGAAATCATTAGCACATTAACTAACAGAATAAATGAAAACGGGAGCACCCCTTTAGATTGACTTTTTGAGAAAGAGAAACTTACACCATGTACTAGAGTAAATGAACCACTGTCATCATTTGTGGATGAACATATATAGCCATGAACTTGAACCGAGTAAGAATGGTACATTACTCTACGGTGAGCCAGTCTTTTCAATACCTGAATGTAATTTCACCAAGAAGACATCAAAGTCGGACAATATATCACCATTTTCAAAATGTAGCTTACTAATGTGTCAACTTAGCATACCTCTATTGCCCTTCTTCCCCTACGTTGCGCCTGATTGCTAACCAGTCGCCGAAGCACGACTTTCTTATTGAACAGTGGACTGCATTACTAGAAAGAGAGCATTATTAGAATTTCTATTTCTCTTCATGATACTTCGGTTGATAAAATCCTGAAACGAATGCCGTAAATCAAAACATACCTACTAGCTTCATTCACTGTAGCTTCATATACAATTTCATCACCCTGCATTACAACTCAACAAAAGCACAATGAACACAGTCAGATCATAGCAACATGAAACTTTATGAACTCAATCTTACAACATAAATAGCAAGAGAAGCCAATAAACTGCTACTTACCCTAATAATTACATGTAGTCATGTACCTTTTTTTGCCCCAATATCCATTTTCCAAACAATTCACCAAGAAATTGATTACAGGAAAAGAAAATAATCAAACACAATACAATTGAAATTATTAATAAAATTAAAATCATCTTTCTCAAAATCATCTTTCTCTCTCCATTTTTCCTTTATTGCATTCATTTTATTAATATACACATTGAACAGACAGGGTGAGTTTATGAGCATACCCTCTCAAAATCATCTTTCTCTCTCCAGTTTTCCTCTGCATTCATTTTATTAATATATATATTGAACAATTGGAACAGGAAAATTCAGAGAAAATAATAAATTAATAAAATATGAAGAAAAAAGACTTACGGCTAGATTATCACCAGAGGTAGTTGTCTACCTGGAACGGGATCCCGTGCGGCGGAATATGGATCCCGTTCTCCTCGTAATCGTCGTCGATCTCCGTTCGACGATTCTCTTTGCAGGCGTTATCTTCTTGCCGACCTTCGGCTTCTTCTGTGCTTCCGCCGCCGCCGCTTCACGTCTTCCGCCAACGCAGGAAGAAATTTTCGATCGGGTGGCGGAGAAGAACGGGTGGTGCTCCGACGATGTGAAGCTACGCAGACCGCCGTTCTCCACCATGATTCCCGCAACCTTCGCCGCTGCTCTCATCGCGCCGCCTCCCATGTTATTTTCAGATTTGGTGGAGAATAATTTCGAAGAAAGAAAAGAGTGAACGAGAGAGATAGAGAAGGAGAGATGAAGAGAGTGATGTAACGGCGATTGTGGGTTTGATGAGAGAGAGAATGTTAGGGTTAGGGTATATATTGAATTTAAATTAAAAGGGCAAAATAGGTATTTTAAATTGTCTAGGGGGGTCTCACTAATTAAGATCAGGATTTGGGTTTTTGACTAGGAGAAAAAAATTTATTGGGCCTCCTCATATATATTTTCAAAACAAGGGGGGTATCACTCATTTCCCCTTTTATAAATGATGTGAAGCAAATGTTTAGTTGAGCTTGTCATTTAGTTCTAATATATTTTATCACTAGAGACCTATATTCTAAGACCCCTAAGAAATAGGAAATGGTGTAGGATAGAAGATGCCCTTAGTCCAAATAAAGTTATGCCTGTAAATATGCCTAATAGAGATTTTTAAAAAATTGTAGAAGACTTTCTAGAATTCTTTATTAGTAGATATTTGGTAGGAATTCTTTAGAGTATAAGTGGACAAATCCTAGCTTTTATATCAAATAAATCTCTATCGTCTTTTAAGAAGATAACCTAATATAAATAGAAGTAGAAATTTCATTTGTAAGCATGCAAAAAAATCATATTATGACTTTGTATTCTAAAAAACCGTATTATTCTCCCTTTTATATAAACAACTTTTTTATTTATATTGCAAAGGTAAAAAAGAGAGTCCTAATTTATATTTGATGGCAACGTATCTGTCTGATGAAAAGTGATATCGTATAATCATATATATTCAGCAACCGCCGCTGCCGCCATGGTTTCAAAGAAAAATATATATTCAGCAACCGCCGCCACCGCCATGGATTCAAAGAAAAACGTAAAAATCAACGACAACCAGTTGAGGGAGATACTCGTCCACCTGCCTCCAAAAACCCTTTTCAAGTTCATGACCGTCTCCAAGAGGTGGAAATATCTCATCAACGATCCTACCTTTCTTAAGTTCCATAACAACAAACAACGGCGCCGCTCCTCCATCGTCGCCGGAGAGGACAACGGTCATCTGCTGGCACTGTTCCAATTAACAACCAAACACTTGTCTAGCAGATACCGCCGCCATCCTTCGGAACCCCTAATGAACATCCTCGTCGTTATTCCCGCCGGAAATCCCGAAATAATGTGCGTCGAAAAGGAACTAGGATACTTCATCCACTCCTCTGAGGGTTTAGTCCTCTGCGGCCGCCACCCGTCCACCTACCACATCATGAACCCGGTGACCAAAAAGTGGGTCCCACCGCCACCGCCGTCACGTCGTCGTTTCAACCAACAATACTCTCGTGATTGGACGATCGGATTGATGGCCACCGCGTGGGAGGGGACAACAGCTACATAGTCGTTCGAGCTGCCGTGACGGATGATCCCGACCATCCATTGCCCATCGAGACCTACTCATCGACGACCGGCGAGTGGGTCCCATCGACGCTCGTTGGCACGGGGATTCGTCCAATATGAATTTAATAGGGGAAACAAAGATGAAGGGAAATAACTTTTACTTTTGCAATTTTGTATTCCTGTGTTTAACTAAATAATTTTACTTTTGTTTGGTTAAATCGGTTATGATTAACTAAATAATTTTAGTGCAGATAACAGTTTATCCCTTGAAAATTTGATTTTGGCACTAAAGCCCTTATAAATATAAAAAACAGAATTTCCCGCTTGAAAATATATAATTAATTGCATATTGCCCCATAGTTTAGATTTGTCCCGGAGAAATATATTTTTAAATAGATATTATTTTTTAATTTGGTTTAATTTAATTCAATTTTTATTTCGTATAAATATTAAAAGTAGTGGTATATTTATAAGTATGCTATATAAACATATATAAATTTTTATTTATATATAATCTTTTTTCTCATACACACACATTCAAATTATCTTTTAATCTTAACTATCAATTTTTCATTGATCGTTGATTATGTAAATAATTATGTAAAAAACAAAAATATTGTAAAAATTGCTATTCAAACATGTCTTTAACTTTTTAAAAATTGCAAAATATCCCATAAAGTGTACGACAGACATTCTCGAAAGTCGGACACGCAAGGTGTCAAAGTGATAGAAGTCGAAGACCCGAGAGGAAAACTCTCCCGAAATTTCAAGCATTTGAATCTCGATTTTCAGCTGACCGCCGAAGAAGAAACCGGTAAGAAGAAGCTCAAGATAAACACCTGGTTCGGCAGCCGGAAAACAACCGCCTCCATTCGTACCGCCCTTAGTCACGTGTCGAATCTGATTAACGGCGTTACTAAGGGTTACCGTTACAAGATGCATTTTGTGTACGACCATTTTCCTATCAACGCTTCCATAACCGACAGCGGCACCGCCATTGAGATCCGCAATTTCCTGGGCGAGAAGGTTTGGAATTTGGAAAAACAAAAAATAATACAACTTTTTATTTGTTTATTTTGGCAAGAAATATGATTGATCCATTTTAAGATTGATCGATTGACAAGACACCGCATACTTGTCGAACACTTGTTGGTCTATTTTGTATTTTCCGAAAAGAAAAAAGAAGAAGCAACAAATATTTGTTGGGCCAAGGGATGGGGAATGAAAAAAAAAAGAAGATAAAAGGATATTCTGTAAAAAAAATTTAAAAAATGTTAAATAAAGATATGAAATATTATATGCATAATAAATAAAATGATAATTGCAGTTGGGAATTTACTTAATGCATATTTTGAATTTGTGAGTGGAGGGGCATTTTTGGAATGAATTTTATAAATGATGTGAAACAAATGTTTAGTTGAACTTGTCATTTAATTCTAATAAATTTTATCATTAGGGACCTATATCCTACGGCCCCTAAAAACAACTAAAATTAGGTGTAAGAAATAGGAAATGGTGTGGGGTAGAAGATGCCCTTAGTCCAAATAGAGTTATGCCCCTCAAGTGTAAATATGCCTAATAGAGATTCTAGTGTAAACATGCCTAATAGAGATTCTTAGAAGATTGTAGAAAACTTTCTAGAACCCTCCATTTGTAGATATTTAGTAGGAATTCTTTGGGATGTAAGTGGACACCTCCTAGCTCTTATATTAAATAGATCTCCATCGTTCTTTAACAAGATAACCTAATATAAATAGAAGTACATATTTCATTTGTAAGCATCCAAACAAATCATATTATGACTTTGTATCCTAAAAAACTCTATTATTCTCCCTCTTATATAAACAATATTATTCATTGTGTTGCCATGGTAACTACTAATTTATATATGATGGCAACGTACTAGGAGCCCTCTCCTACTTTTACTATAATAAGATGTCTATATTTCCCCATATATATATATACACACATATTTGTCAGTTTGTCGGTTTTGTGGTGGAAGTATTCGCACTTAAAATTTAATTAAATAAATTTTCTTGAATAAACACCGACATTCACTTTTTTTTCGTGTTTTGAAGATTGTAGACACTAAGTTGGCATCTTACGGATTTAAGAAGCCATTGGATGCTGTGGTTGAGCTTGCTCAAACAATTATGAGAAGTGAACTCGGTAAGATCACTCTCGACAAGATCTCTGAGTCAAGGGAAACACTTGATGAGAATATACTGGTGATTATTAGATGAGTGGTTATTAGTTAGTCGATTATGGTAATTTAACTATTATTTGATGAGAATATACTGGTGATTATTAGATGAGTGGTTATTAGTTAGTCGATTATGGTAATTTAACTATTATTTTTTTCGGCGCAGTACACACGAGTTAGTATTCAAGTTCTTTAGCGAAAAGCATGTTTATAAGCATGTTTACACTTGTAAGGAAATTTACAAGCATGTTTCTCTTTTCTTTATCCGTGGTTTGTTTTGTGACTTCAATTAAGAAATTTTGAAGGTATATATGATTTATGTAGCTCTGTAACTCCATCAGAAACCCGATATGTACGAATGAGTCGTGCATGATTTATGGTTTTTTAGCGTGTTAATTTCATTTACACCAGCCTCCGTATTTTGGATTGACTCCTATACGTATAAATTGGGTGCAGATTTCCATCAGTGAAGCCACAAAAGATTGGGGCTTAAAGTGTGTTTATTATGCTGCAAGTGGGTCTGAGTATATGAAATTAAATATTTCTTTTTTTGGTTAATCTATCTTTGATCGATATACAGTGAAACCTCTATATATAAATTAATACAGTAGGGATCAGGGAAATTCTATTAATTTAGCGAATTATTAAATTATCGAGTTAATAATCTAACACGTTTTCACCGAGTCGGGACTGAGAGAAACTATTATTTAATCGAGGTTATTAATTTATCGAGATTCTACTACACAAATTTTAGGTTGTATAACTCTTCCTCATGAAGTGAAGGAAGTATTGCAGATGGAGCTAAAAGACAGCTCGTATTTTAGAAGCTGAAGGTAATGGGTTCATTTTCTACTATCTAAGCAATTAGTTTCCATTTTTTTCATTGTAATGGAAGCTCGACTACTAGATAAAGAAAAAGTATATATATCTTTTCAAGCGTCAGGTGTATCAGTTTGGGTTTTTTTTGAACGAATACTATCCCCGTGTAATTTTGAATTGCGGTTCGTGTGACTAATTTCTTGCCCTTATGCAGGAATAATGCAGGAAAAATTATTATTGCGGATGGAAAAAAGAAGGAAGCGATGCTTTTATCAGAAACTGCAACGCTGATGCGAATTAACAAAGCTGAAAGTTAGTTATTATTTCTCTATTTCATTACATGGGGCTTTTTTTCAAAGAAAATAAAAAAAAATTCAGTTATAGATTTTTTCCGGGTGAATTAATGTTATAATAGGAGAAGTAGAAGTAGAAGCTATCATCAATGGAGCACACGCAACAGCGAAACGAGTTGATGTGGTTTCGCGGTTCATCGAGGAACCTGATCTTGTGGATTCAATGAAAGAAAATAATGTCGTTAGGGAGTTCGTCAATGAAACTGATCGTGTCAATGTGAGATTCTTCACTCTTTATTTTTTTATTTTTTTTCTAATTTGGAGTTATATATATATATATATATATATATATATATATATATATATATATATATATATATATATATATATATATATATATATGCATGAATGATCGTTTAAGAATTATTGAGCAATATCTTGATTCCTTCAGTAATATCCCAAAAGAGGTAAAATCACATATATAGCTTATTGTGGCATAATCAATATTATTTGTTTTTTAGAGAGTTTTCTTGTTTCAATTTTACCCTTTATCGTATGCTATTCTTCTGGTTATAGTTGTTGCTGTAACTCAATTTCGAGTATGTCATAAAATAAACGATTCAGAACCAAGTCAATTCAAATAAAAAATCAGCTACGTTTAATCATGTATTCTCGTATTCTGACTAAAGATTATTCTTTCGCCAAAACACCATACAAACTTCACCACCTAATCTCCATCTATATATATACTGTGTATGTCCTATTCCTACCCTAAAAAGTACCATGTACCGCGTCTACCTTCGTCATTGGTTGGTTTTTTTTTTCAATATCTAAGTGAAACAAAAAAAAAAAACTCATAGTTACAAGAACAAGATAACGACACGCGTTCTCCTCATTGTTTGTCTTTTGGGCTTTGAAGCATGAAAACAGGTTCATTCGGAGCACTTGAAGGAGTTGTTCCCTACATGGATTGAAAAAGAAAAAAAAGAAGATTATAACATTTATTGGAAATTCTTGCTCCTTAAGTCATAATTATAATTTATAATTCAGTAAGTTAAATCGAGAATTACCTCTTTTGGAATATCGCTGAAGGAATCGATATATTGCTCAATAATTTTTAAATTACCAGCCTGCAAATCAAACAAATCATGATCTTTAATGCAAGTATATATACGTTTTTAACAAATAGCTTCCTTAACTCCGAATATTTTACACTGTTTTCCCTACATACCCCACCAAACCAAATGTTGCCAAGAACAAACTCCCAGCACTATAGGAAAGCAAATAAACAAGTTTATGATTTTTATCGGATGTCTCGTTAAATTGGTTTTAAATTTGAAAAAGAAAAAGAAGCACAACAGAGAGATGAAAAATCTTACATTCACATCCCCAGTTTCCTCGAGGAACGGCAGAACCACATCAAGTTCTTTCGCTGTTGCACATGCTTTATTCGCTATTGCACGTGCTTTAGCGTAGATAGTTTCTAGATCTGCATCAGCGAATAGTTTATTTTTAAAAGAATAACCAAACATCCATACTTCCCTAAACTTAACTAATATATTCCTTGGAATCATTAAAAAAAATTGCAAGACTAAAGAGACCACTAAACGGATCAACTTTGCTCTCTGTGTTTCATTTTTTAGATTAAAATACCATTTCTTTATTAAAAAATCACTACATGAATAAAGACATGATACCCAACCTTCAGCTAGGTAATCTTTGTACTGCTGCATAGCTTCTGATATATTTTTCGCTGCCTCCTTTCTTGCATTTCCCAGATCAATTTCTGCCTGCATTGCTGTACAAAAAATTAAAGTTACTTTCGCGACAGTAAGCTGTAAGCCTAGTTCATTTAACTTCATTCATTCTTCCCAACAGCTTCATTTACGTAATTATTTCCTACTTCAGTATACATATAGGCATATTCTAGCAACATCTTTCTCAGCACATATCAAAAAAGAAATTGGAAAGAAAAATTGCATGTTCCTAATGCACAAGCAAATACATCAACCATCACATTTATTCGCTAAGGCTGGATTAATGCAAGAGTAATTTGATGGTTCTTCAGTATTTAGTGATACGGCACAAACAACGTTAAAAAAAATGATGTATGAACATTGGAATATTGTACCTCATTTGTGAGCAACTCTAGAATTAAAGTCAAAGTCGTATCATTCCCCATCGTTATATTTATGGCATGCACTAGAATCTAACAGGTACGTAAACATGATGTACGAATGTTATATTATTTTCCAAATTGATACACATTATGCTCGAAAAATAATCCCGCAGGCAAGCTTCCATTACAATGAAAAATGCAAATTAACTGCTTAGATAGCAAAAAAAAAATCAACCCATTACCTTTAAATTCATACGCATAAGCGCTCCTTATTAGCTTTGATACAGCCTTCTTCTGCATTGCTGCGCTTAGTTCATCCGGAATAGCTATATCCTCTAAATTTCATGAAGTAAATCCAAGATACATATAAGACGACAAAGAAACCCCCAATAATGGTAAATTAACAAAACAAAGAATTATGTATTATCATAAAATGTACCCACTTGTTGTATAACGCATACACTTTAAGCCCCAACGTTCTCCAGCTTCATTAATGGCTATCTGCACCCAACGCACATCTATACTAGTCAATCCAAAATGTGGAGGCATGTGTATAGCTAAGCTAAAAAGCTGTTAAAAACAGCTTATAACCTCTTACAAAGGTGTTTGGTAATTGTTTTCAAAATAGATCTTAAAAATTCAAAAAGTAAAATATTGGAGAGCGTATAAGATTTTTTTTTTTTTTAAAGTACCTATATCCAATCTTTTCATTTAACATCTTTAAAACAGTAAAAACAACCTATAAGCTTATTATCGAAACACTTCGAAAATTACTTTTAACAATAAGACGTAACAACTTATTAGTTCTTACAACATCTTATTAAAGGTAGGAGATTATCATCTAGTTAAAATAAGTTTACCCAAACGGGCTCTTAACCACATGTGGTGAAAAATCTATCCACTTCAAAACAAAATTAACCTACATAACCATTACTAAAGATACCCAATGAGAAACAATTTGAATAGGACATTGTTTGCGGATGAATAATTTCCATATGATGTTTTTTTCCCAGGTGCTACATCTATGATTAGCATAAAGAAGAAAACAATTACCGAACAATCACAACACACATATCACAATTAAATGTCATTAAAAACTGATTTAAATGTCAAATTGACACCGATGGATCCAATATGAAGATTTTAACGCAGTTAACATTCTATGCATAGTAACATTCTATGACATCATGCAAAAGAACTTAGACATAAACTCGTGCAAACTAATTTTAAAGAACAATAGTTAAATTCTATCATAGGCTAACTAATAACCAAGCATCAAATACTCACCTCTATCTTTTTATTAAGTGCCACCCTTGTCCCAATAGCCTGCATGAAAGTGATCTGACCAATCTCATTTTGCATAGTTGTCTGTGCAAGCTCAACCGCAGCATACAGTGGATTCTTAACTCCATAAGATGCCAACTTAGGGTCCACAATCTTCAGAACATGAAAAAATGTGGATGTCAGCATTCATTCTAGAAGTTCATTTAATCGAATTTGAAGTGTTTGTAAGAAAACTAAATGTCAAATTGAAATCAATATACATGCCTTGACATAGAGATTGGCATCAATTAGAACGTTCATTTTGTCCTTCGTAAATGTTCAGGTACACGGATTACCTCTTCTAGCACACAATGCTCATAAGCAATTCTATCAACAAACGGAATCAAAAAATGGGTTCCTTGAGTCAATGTCTTTAAGTACTTCCCAAATCGTTCAATAACATAAGCCTTGTGGAGGGGCACAACACGGATACCCCAATTCACCGGTGGCGTAATGTCATACCTTCATCAAAAGTAACACCATCACTTACATGCTTTTGATTGCGAAAAAGATTTCACTACAAATTCTTCCGCAAATTTATTCACAAACCATATTGCGTATTAAGTTTAAATTAAATAGTTTGTTGGTGTACCAATTCAGTGCACAATTACATTCCTCAGCTCTAAATATGACAACAATCATCATTTGTAATTTTCTTTCACCTTTTAGCTCACATCTAATTTCAAATTCCAAATTAAGGGTAAATAGCCCTTAAACCCCCGTTTGATCTCTTTGCACATGACCCGTTTGTACTTTCGAAATAAGCATATGACTCCTTTGTACTTGGACATAAACATATAACCCTCTTGTACTTTCAATATTTTCATCTCCTAATGAACATTATTACTCGACAAGTGGAATACCACAAAGTAGCTTATGTGATTATATTAAAAGTACAAGGGGCTCATGTGCTTATATCGAAAGTACAAGGTGGTCATGTGCAAAATGGTCAGACCAAAGGATGATTAAGTGCTATTTACCCCCAAATTAACATTCAGCAATAAAAATCAAAGGTTGAAAAAGAATACACAAAATCAAGGTAAAAACAACAAAAATTAACTGATGGAAGAATGTAATATGAATGTAATAGTTTCGAGAAACAAAGTGTAACCTCTGGTTTAACTTGATTTTAAAAGTGGCATTAACAAGTAGTACCTGGTGCTAGGGTCGCGTGACAGGGTGATGTGTCGGACAGTGACGAAGAACGGGTGAGGGAGCTGACGAAGAACCGGCGGAGGCGCGGTGGAGATCGCACCTATCGAAGAAGATGGAGCGGCGGCGAGTAAATTTCTTAGGTTTTGAAGCCTGTTGACAGAATTCTGCCTCAACAAATTCATGCTTTCGAATTTTGGGTGAATTTCCAACAAAAATTCTGGGGGATACGAATTAGGGGCTTTGAGAAATTTTATAGGGTTCGAAAGTTGGAGTTGTCACGTACCTAGTAAAAAAAGTACGATACCCATATATAAAATTACATAAAAATCCTTAAAAGTAAATCTTAATTTGAATTAATAATTGATAACTAAAACTTGATTACAGATAAATAATTATCATAAATTAGTAACCTAAAATAGTAAAAGAGGAACTCTGCGTTCATCCCTGTAAAAAAATATCCCTCTCTCACTCACCGTTGTTCTTCCGGCCGTCGATTTAGGTTTTGTCAACATCTATTCTTCGGGCAATTGTATACCCATTTGTAAATTATATCTCATAATGGTACCCTTTTCTCGGATTTTCCTTTGTTTTCTGCATAAAGTCCCTTTTCTTTCTTATCGTTTTTCAAGTATCAAGTATTTTAGTCATATACTTATGTTATTCTACGATTTTTTTTTCTTCTTCTCTTTTTGGATATTGGTTAGATGTTTTCAAAGGGCATTTAAGGTAGCCTGCAGTTTATAAGGCGTACCCAAATTGCAGAGCAATTTCGTGTGACCAATTTGACATGACTTTTGAAGTGAGTTATAAAATATCTTGAATGGAGTTTTTGATCTACCCATATTCAAATATAAACATTTTCTGATGTAGTTGAATTATATGACCACTTTGGCCAAGACATATTTCTAGATGTTCGATAAAATGTCTATTTATCATAGTGGTTTAGCAGAGTACTAACCACTCGGGCAAAGTTGATTATTGTTATGCTAATCCTAACTATAAATATATAAATATAAATAACACTATAAAATAATTATAAAAATTGTATAATTAATATTAAAAATCTCTACTAATAACAAATGCATATATTTAATTTTGAAAAATAAAAAAAATTACAATATAATTTAAAAGAAATATTGAATTTTGATTTATTTTTTTTAAATTTTGACATTTTAAAAAAATTCTCAATTATTCTTTTCACTTATAAATACCCCTAAACCAATCTTCACAACTTTCATTTTATTTAATTTATGTCTCAAGATCTTAACTGTTTCAATTTTTTCCTAAAGTTGTTTAGTGTTTAAATTCATTTTGTTTCTCGTAATTTTGAATTTAAAGTTAATCTTAAGTTTTTTTCAAGTTTCAATTTAAGTTTTTTTTTTTGTAATTAATTAAAAAAAAAAAAAGGAAAACCGGTTTGGACCCGGGCCCGGCCCGTACCAGGATGGACTTGCCCCGGACCCGCCTTTACACGGGTCGGTTTCGGATCCCCTAAAAGTCTGACTCGTACCCGGTGGGTCCGACCTGGACCCGGACCCACCCCGCTAGTGGCCGTGTCTACCTCAGGGGTGTAGGTGTAATTTATCCTAGGGTAAATTACAACCACCCATGAGGTATGGTTAATTTATGAAAAAAACCCTCTTGTTTGGATAATTACATCTACCCCTAACTATGATTTTTACACCTCCACCCTAATAGTGTTAAATTCAACATAATCATCTAGATTTCATGAAATGTGCTCTAGTTTGTATTCGTTTTGTGTAAAAATACAGTTTCTGTTGCACCACAATTTGATATATACAAGCTTAAAAACACATATTATGATCATCTTGCTCCAAAATGTAGAGTTCGAATATGATAAAACGGGTACAAAAGTGATAATAATCCATATAATCTCGAAAATTCCACTAAATTTGAAACCGTAAGGGTGGACGTGTAAAAAGATTGAGGGGTGGTTGTAATTATCCAAACAAGAGGGGTTTTTTATAATTAGACCATACCTCAGGGGTTATTGTAATTTATTTATCCTAATTTTAATTTTAATTGAAATATTCGAAATTTTCTGTTCTTGGTGAACAAGCTAGCACTCTGGGTTTTACTAGGGCTTTGTCAAATTACTGCACTACAAATATCTTCCTTAACCCTCACAAATTTCCTTAAACTCAAATTGCTTTCCATCAAAATTCATTCTCGAGAACTCCAATTCCTATCCGCCCTATCAGAATCGAAACAATGAATTTGCTGAGACAGAATTCCGTGAGCAAGCTCCGAATCCTCGCCGCTCAATCCCAAATCGGCAGCCGTGCGATCACCGCCGCTCCGCCGCTGCTTCTTTCGTCTCCTGTTTCTGCACGTCAGACCCCTCACACTTTCGCCACCGCCGTCCGCCATATCCACCACCAGTCTCGCGACCCCAGCACTAGGTCTACTACGTATTTCCGTTTATTTATTTATTTATTATGACTGATTAGTTTTTCTATCACCTAAATTTGGTAGTGTTCTTCATATTACAATTTTGTGAGCAACTAGTTTTTGCTGTTTTTACCTTGATTTTTTGTGCGATTATGATTAGTTTTTCTATCACCTAAATCTGGTAGTGTTCTTCATATTACAATTTTCTGAGCAACTAGTTTTTGCTGTTTTTAATGATTAGTTTTTCTATCACCTAAATCTGGTAGTGTTCTTCATATTACAATTTTGTGAGCAACTGGTTTTTGCTGTTTTTACCTTGATTTTTTGTGCGTGAACGAAAATTATAGATGCTAAGGATAAGGACTTTGCAATTGTTATTATGAGTTACGATTCGTAAAATTATTGAATTCGTAAAATTATTGAATGCGTAAAATTATTGAATGCTGAAGATTTTGTGCTGAAACGAAAATTGTGATTAGTTTTTCTATCACCTAAATCCGGTAGTGTTCTTCATATTACAATTTATTTTGTGAGCAACTAGTTTGTGCCTAGTTTGTGCTGTTTTTGATTTTTTGTGCGTGAAACGAAAATTATAGATGGTATGTTAGAGTTTAAGGACTTTTCAACGAAAATTAAAATTATAGATGGTATGTTAGAGTTTAAGGACTTTGCAATTGTTATGAGTTACGATTCGTAGTAAATTAGTGAATGCTGAAGATTCACAATAAATTGTGGCTTTCGTGAAGGTACGACATCTCGCCACCCGTGAATTGGGGAATTCGGATTGTGCCAGAGAAGAAGGCCTACGTTATTGAACGATTCGGGAAATATGCGAAGACATTGACTCCCGGAATTCATCTATTGATTCCGTTTGTTGATCGAATTGCTTACGAGCATTCTCTGAAAGAGGAGGCAATTCCGATTCCCGACCAGTCTGCAATTACCAAGGACAATGTCTCCATTCGAATCGATGGAGTCCTCTATGTCAAGGTATGTGTTCATTCGGTTTTCTGGTGGGAGTTAAATAAATTTATTAATGAGATTCTAAGTTGAATGCTGACATTTTTTTTGTTCTGAAGATTGTCGACCCTAAGTTGGCATCGTATGGAGTTGAGAATCCATTGTATGCCGTGATTCAGCTTGCACAAACAACTATGCGAAGTGAGCTTGGTAAGATCACTCTCGACAAGACTTTTGAGGAAAGAGACACACTGAATGAGAAGATAGTGGTGAGTATTTGATGCCTGGTTATTAGTTCTGAATGAGAAGATAGTGGTGAGTATTTGATGCCTGGTTATTAGTTTGGCACGATTGGATGAATTAGTTGAATGAGAAGATAGTGGTGAGTATTTGATGCCTGGTTATTAGTTTTGCACGATTGGATGAATTAGTTTTGCACGATTGGATGATTAGTTTTGGATGATATTCTAGGATGATTAGTTTTGGATGATATTCTAGGATGATTAGTTTTGGATGATATTCTAGGATGATTAGTTTTGGATGATATTCTAGGATGATTAGTTTTGGATGATATTCTAGGCGCCACATAAAGTTATCATGTGTCTTGCCTTTTGCTTACTTTTCATGTTCAATTTATCAGTTCCAAATTGACATTTAACTGAGTTTGTAATGATTCTTGATTGTGATATGTGGGTTATGTGTGTTTGGTTATTCCTTTCTTCTGTATGCTTGTCATATAACTAGCGGCTAGGAAGAAACCATATGAAAGTAACTCATTCTTATAACGAATGGGGTATCCTACAGTCATGGTTACGTATGACTACGTAGTTTTGCATGGTGTCGGTTTTTAGCTTCTTTATTTTTGCACTGGAAAAGATTTTTGACTCATGCGTTTAAATTATCTTTCATCTATTTTCATATTTTGGATTGACTGCCATAAATATTCATTGTGTGCAGATTTCCATCAATGAAGCTGCTAAAGATTGGGGCTTAAAGTGCCTTCGTTATGAAATAAGTGGGTATTTTTTTTATGAAAATTTCGTTCTTGGGTTTGTGCTTCGTCTAACGTGCATCTTGGATTTACTTAATGAAAAACAGGGGATATAGCTCCTCCACGTGGAGTGCAGGCGGCTATGGAGATGCAGGCTGAAGCAGAGCGAAAACGGAGAGCTCAAGTTCTAGAATCTGAAGGTAATGGTTTTTTTTTTAAGAGGTGTCAGATTTGAATACTAAGGAGTTAGTTTGCATTTTTTTCATTGTGCCTGCAAGATAAAAATTCTTTTTCATGTGTAATGTGTGTCAATTTGGGTAATAGAATATATGAAAACTCGTTTAAGTACAACGTTGTTCAACCAAAAAAATAAATGAACTCTGTATAGCGATTCTGAGGCACTATATTCATACATCATGATTGCATAACTGTTACTTAGAATGTATATGAAAAAGATGCTAAGCAGTAAAATGTGGTACTCATATGCAGGAGAAAGGCAGGCAAATATTAATATTGCCGATGGGAGAAAGAACTCAGTCATCCTTGCATCAGAAGCTGCGAAGCTGGATCAAGTCAACAGAGCTCAAGGTTCGTTAACTATGAATGAATTCTGTTACGTATAGCCTTTTTATTCAACTCAGATTGTTATTGGTGGCTGAATGAGGAAATCGTATATTACTTTAGAGGTGCTTTAGTCTGTTAATCTTTCTGACTGATTCCGGACAATATATTAGTGAAGTGGCAAAGAAGTACAAATGTCTTATTATTCTTTTGAACATAAATTATTCTGTTGCATTTATTTATTGTTGATTTCTTATGTTATAACAGGAGAAGCAGCAGCTATCCTCGCTAGGGCTGAAGCAACGGCAAAAGGAATTGCCATGGTTTCGGACACCCTCAAGAAAACTGGGGGTGTGGAGGTTAGCTTCTTTCATCTTTACATGCAACGCTTTCTTTGTTTATTTGTAGAGAAAAACACTGTAAAACATTCCTAGTTAAGAGAAGCTATTTGTTATACAGTTATATTTATTGCATTAACTGACCATTGATTTTGTTTGATTATCAGGCTGCTAGTTTAAGAATTGCCGAGCAATATATTCATGCCTTCGGCAATATTGCTAAAGAGGTAAATCTCATATTTCAGCTTATTGTGGTTACACTCATGACTAGGAAAGTAAGAATTTTCCAATAATGTTTTGTTTATTTTTTCTGATTATTTTTTGTAGGGAACAACGGTGTTGCTTCCAGCAAGTGCTTCGGAACCTGCAAATATGATGGCACAAGCCCTATCAATATACAAGAACCTGGTTGGCAATGCTTCTGGAAAGTTGCTCCCGGAGATGCCCGAAGATGCTCTATCTTTGGGATCCGGTAATAATCAGAGTTCCTCAAAGGCTGAATCTGCTGACGAAGTTTCTCGTGCAGAATCTGTTTTCTCGCTTCAAACACCCAAAGGCAAGAAGTGAGAAAAAAATATTATGGTAAAGGAAAACGGGTGTCTGTGAGATTTGCTTCTATTACACTTTTATGATTGATAAACAATTTTAACTGCTACTGCGTAGATTTTAACTATAATTGGGCAAGTGCCTTTTTTTTTTTCTTTTTTCGCGGCATTTATTGCTTCGGATTTGTTATTCTGGCAAAGTACATTTGAGTTTTTGAGGGTAGGATTCGAAAGTAGAAATCATGGAGAAATTGTCCATCAGTACTTCTGGCTGTAGAGAGTGATTCTACTACTTCTATTAATTGCAAATTTAAATTAGTTTTACAAGTGTTGTTGCTTACTTGTATTGCATTTTATGTTCGAATTGATTGATTGATTCCCTTGCTCATGTACTGTGTGTCTGTGTGATTCGAACCCTTGATTGTGACCATAAAAGGCTTCGTTTGGGCAGACGAGGGATTTTAAATTAAGTAATGACATAATTGCTTGCATTTATTTGTTTGGAATCGTTCGAAATCCTATCTCCGAATTCCTTCTCCGAGTCAAATCCTTTCATCCAAACGGAGTCTAACAGTCACGACTCCATTACTAACTCTCCTATCGAGAGGCTTGATTTTTTTTTTTTTTTTTGAATTTTGTTTTTCGTAGGATTTTGATTTCATTCTATCAGATGAAACAAAATACGAGCAATTGTTCAAAATTCAAAAAAAAAATCTTTAGTAAGTAGACGGCCTTCTAGATGCTACATACGGTGAAATACACGATTAACTTAGATTATAGGCTTATATATTATGGGGGTGGGCCCCAAGGCAGATCCTCCGCCGGCTCGCCGGACGGTTTTCGAATAGGCATAATACGGACACACACAAAACAACAAATCTTGTTAGTCAATGTGAATATATTATGTTGTGGTACATTTATTATTTTCAGTCACTAAGTATTTCATTAATTTCAATATATAAATCAATAACAACACTATTTTGGCAGGTAACCGTAGTCGTACTCTAGTTGTATTATATTCGTGGTTGAGTTGTATTAAGCTGCTGTTCACAACTATTGAGCGAACAATGAAACGTTTCCTCGTTTCTCGCTGTCACTGAGTGACGAGTTTGCCAATGTTTTGGAATTTTTGTTTTAACATCTTCAAAGTGTTCAATATTGATTTAAGGATTTGAACCCAATTTTTTTTAATTATTATTTTTATTTATAATAATCAATCTGTTGATGTTGCATTTGAAGAAGAAGTTTTGCGATTCAAATTCATAATATTATATTGGGCAAATTACGTTTAATATGTAAGTCGAAATTATGAAAAAATTCATTATGTTTGGCTAATATAATTAAAACAACCCCTTCAATTATGTATTGTATTTTGAAAAAAAATCATTTTTCTCAGTAGCTAAGTTTGACACCATAAGGATAAATGTATTAGACAATAAACAATTGATGGATGATTGTAATTATCCAAATATGATGAGTTTCATAATTGAAAATATCACAGGGGTGGCCGCTATTTGCCTTAATATTATTAAGCGCGTAAACAAATCGAGTTGAACCAGACACATAGCTCTTCTTCAAGCTTATCTTAATCGAACTTTCAAAATCGTTCTTAAGCTTGATTTAATAAGCAATCAATCTGAACTCAAACAAGCTTTAACCGACTATACACAAATCGAGACCGAATAACTGAATTTAATGCACACATTTGTCAAATAAAATAATCTAAATAAGCTCGAGCTAAAACCCAAATTCACAACTTAGTGAACTAAGGATATATATTCGAGTTTAGATCATTGTGATAGAGTTTAAATACAGACCCTTAAAGTAAATCATTGGTAACACTTACTCATATAAAGTTACAAATGCAACCCCTACTCTCTCCATTTATGATTTTTTTTATTGGAGCTTCATTAAAAAGTTTAATAGAAGACTTTAACTTTGAATAATAAGAGATTATGTTGAATTTCCGATGTAAAATTGGAAAAAATATTCAAGAAATGTGACGTAGGGGATCAGAATCATTTGCTTGTAGTTTAGCCATTTGTCCAATATATATATCTATCTTCTAAATAAAAACAAAATAAGATTCATTGGAATATGTGAAAAGAGAGTTCACATAATCTAATCCAGATGTCATTTAATTTCAAATGTCGATCCAAAATCCTCACACGTTTAAATCCCCCACCCCCCGCCCCCCTACATTTATCCCCACACTCAAAAATAGTGCACGCAGCAAATTCCCCCCCAAATTTCTCACACCATTCCTCTCTGCCAAATCGAAATCCCTAATTAAAAAATGGGTTTGGGTGAAGAAGACGCAGAGGCCGGAAAAGTATCGCCGACGATTCCGGTGAAGAGATCCATTTTCCGCTACAACTCGCCGCTCGTCCAGGTGGTCCTCATAGGTTTCGTCTGCTTCTGCTGCCCTGGGATGTTCAACGCCCTCTCCGGCATGGGCGGCGGCGGCCAGGTCGACCCCACCGCCGCCAACAACGCCAACACCGCCCTCTACACCACCTTCGCCGTCTTCGGCGTCCTCGGCGGCGGAATCTACAACATACTCGGCCCCCAGCTCACCCTCCTCGGCGGATGCTCCACCTACGTCCTCTACGCCGGCTCCTTCCTCTACTACAACCACTACCACCACCAGGCCTTCGCCATCGTCGCCGGCGCCTTCCTCGGCGTCGGCGCCGGCCTCCTCTGGGCCTCCCAGGGCGCGATCATGACGTCGTACCCGCCGCAGAACAGGAAGGGCATCTACATCGCCCTCTTCTGGAGCATCTTCAACATGGGCGGCGTGATCGGCGGTTTGATCCCCTTCGTTATGAATTACCACCGGACTGAAGCAGTCTCCGTCAACGACGGCACATACATCGGCTTCATGGTTTTCATGTCCATCGGAACCCTCCTCTCTCTATCAATCCTCCACCCAAGCCGCGTGGTTCGATCCGACGGCTCTCGCTGCACCAACATCAAGTACTCGAGCGTCTCGGTCGAAGCTGCAGAGATTCTCAAGCTGTTTCTCGATTGGAGGATGCTGCTATTAGTGCCCGCCTCGTGGGCAAGCAACTTCTTCTACAGCTACCAGTTCAACAACGTGAATGCAGTGCTGTTCAATGTTAGAACAAGAGGGCTGAACAATATATTCTACTGGGCAGCACAGATGCTTGGCTCTATTTTCATTGGGTACATTATGGATTTCAGTTTCAAGAGTAGGAAATCAAGAGGGTTGTTAGGTCTCGTAATCGTGGCTGTTTTCGGAACTGCTATCTGGGGAGGAGGGCTAGCGAAACAGCTCGATTATCACCGTCTTAATTTGCCCGCTAAGAAGCTCGATTTTAAAGACGGTGCTGATTTCGCGGGACCCTTTGTGTTGTATTTCAGTTATGGATTGCTTGATGCTATGTTTCAAAGTATGGTGTATTGGGTTATTGGAGCATTAGCTGATGATTCTGAGGTTCTTAGCAGGTGAATTTTTATCTCTTTTTTTTTTTCCGATTATAATCAACGAAAGTAGTATATAAGGTCTGAAACTAAAGAATTTGTTACTGAATTATTATTATTATGTGTATGTGGTGTTTTGAAGGTACAATGGATTCTACAAGGGAGTGCAGAGTGCGGGGGCGGCGGTTGCATGGCAAATAGACACGCATAAGGTGCCGTTTTTGAACGAACTGGTGACGAATTGGGCGCTCATGACTGTAAGTTATCCATTGTTGGCTTTGCTGATTATACGAGCTGTGAAAGATGAAAATGAAGTTGATGAGGAAAAAACTAACAAGGTGGAGCAATCTGTGGTTGTATCCAATGACAATACTTCGGTGAATACGTCTACTTATGTAAAAAATTAGTTTTCACGAAATTACGGTTTGTGGGGGTGATGCTATGCGTGCATCCTCCTCAAAGAGGGATAGGTTGTTGAAAAATTCATGTTTCTTTATCGAGGAATTTGTATGCAAGTGTGTGTTGGTTTCTTATGTGGTCCAAATTGTTTTGTATTACTTATCTCAAGAGATGTTTCTAGTAACTCGTGACAGTGGACTTCGTTAACAATGGTGCTTTCTGTCCTTACGAGTTGAATATATTGAAGAAAGGGAGGCTCTTAAAATTCTATAATCATGTTAGGTATTAAATCGTAGGCTCCGAGCAAAAGGGCCGCTAAAATAAACGAACTCAAATAAGTACGAGACAAGGTTTTGTTAAGCCAGACCGACTTAATTAGATAGCATTCTCTAGGCGAGATTTCTTAAGTTAACGACTTCTCTTGTATCGTTTGAAGTCCCATCGATTCGCTGTTCTTATATTTAGACAATTTAAAAGCCTAGTTTGTGACATTACCTAAGCACTTCGTCTTGCTAGCAGAGCAACTTTCTCTATGTATTGGTCAACTTGCGGCAACATTCGTAAGTTGAAACAGATATAGAACAAATGGCCTGCAAATATATATATATATATATATATATATATATATATATATATATATATATATATATATATATATATATATATATATATATGACGTTTATAAGAAGTTTGACCAGACTTTCGTATGTCAATTTATCCTTGGAGTATTGCATATATTCCTTTTTTCTTGGACATGTTACAACTTTCATCAGGATTTAGCTGTCCTATTCTTTATGCATGTTAGAATTATTCAACAGTAATTGTATTTCGATTAACATTACAAAGACTGTAAGCCATCCAGGAACGAGAATCATTTTCAGATGAGGTACGTAAACGAAAAGAATTTCGAAGAAGACGAGCAATAATATAAGATTATATATATAATTAAAGACAGGTATATGTTGCTATATGTGTAGTATTTTAATCATCTTATGCAGGTAAAATAGCGTTAACCTCATGGGATAAAATGCTGTTGTTAATTTCTTGAACGATCTTTGGAGATGCTGAAAGGTAACAAATTTGTAATAACGTGGCTATAAATCTTAAATATCGACTCAATCTTATTGGAAATATGTAATTATCTGATTTAAAAAAAGAAGAAACGAATCCAAAAAAATATAGAATTTTCAATTTATCTCCCAAAATGAGTACAAAATATAAGAAAAAACAAAAAGAAAACCTATCACATTATTTTACTTTTTAAATATCTAGTGGTGCACATAGCTTTCGTGGTGGATTGATAATGATTTTTTTCTAGGCGGCAACAACAGTTTCCGCCACCGCTTTCTTTTCCTCCTTTGGTGGCTCCTCTGCGGCCGCCTCGGCTTTGGCTTCCACTGGCTTCTCCTCCTCCTTAGCCGGAGCAACAGCTTCCACCGCGGCCGGTTTTTCTTCGACCTTTGGTGCTTCTGGAGCTGCTTCAGCTGCTACTACCAAAGGTGTTTCCTTGATCTCACCTCCATCTTTTGTTTCCTGCAAAAATAAAATACCATTCAATAAAAAGACAATTATCATAATTCTTGTCATTTATTTATTTTTGTGACATCATCGAAAATTAATCTAGTGAAAATTTTATTTACCTGGCTCACTTCTTTTACGGTCTCTGCCTCAGCTTTCTCTGTGGGGGCCACCACCGCTGTCTCGGCCTCCTCTGCCGGGACCACCGGTGCTTCGGCCTCTTTCTCTGTGGGGACCACCAGAGCTTCTTCAGCCGCCTTGTCCGTGGGGGCCACCGGAGCTTCAACGGCCTTGTCTGTGGGGGCCACCGGAGCTTCGGCAGGTGGGGCCGGTGCTTCGACTGGTGCAGGCACCTTCTCGGCAGCCAAATCCTTTGGTTTGCTCGCGCAGCCTCCCATTATTATATCTTTTCGATTTTTTTCGAGCTAGGCGAGCAGAGAGACAGGAAAATGGGAGATGAGAAACTTCACAGAAAGCTTTTTATTATTTTTTTTTCTTTTTTTTTTTTCAAAGAAGTATACTTTTATTTTTATTTTTAATTACTTTCTTTTTTTTGTGATGTTGAGAGAATGAGGGATAAGAGGAGGTGTTATATAGGAGGTGGAGATGCTGGTATTTGATTTGATTTGATGGTGCTGTTGAAACATGCATACATGTTTGTGGTCGGTTTTCTTTTTGTTGACATTTTCTTTTT